GTTTTTTTTCTGTTTTAGGCCACTTCCGTGGAATAATGCCCCGCCAAATAGAGTCAGTGGAATTTCGGATGTATTCACTCTGTCTATGTTTCTATGCACATTCAGTTGTTTTCCATCTGCGCTGACAGTGGCAGTAGTTTCTATCGGTAGCTTAGTTGCAAAGTCTTATTTCAATTGTGACAAAAATGTTAGGTTTACTGGAATGAAAAATCACCAAGAATTTCGAACTGTAAGAATTGAAGCCACAGACACAACATATATATCATAATGGGGATGGAACAGAGCGATAAATTCTCAAACCATGTTGATAAAGTATTAATTACAAATTTTCACTTGTATGGTGTTAAAATGAAGCGGATTGCAATCCAGTGTAATGTAAAACAAATGTGATCCAGGTCGACTGTACCAGAAACAATATGTGATGTTTTTCACCGTGTTAAAAATGAGTTTTATCTGCTGGACATCTCTTGTAAGATACAGGGTGATTGTGAGAATCAAGGTCTGCATTGGGATCCGTAAGTCCGAAGGCAGATCAATTGGTTTACTAGCATTTGGGAGCAGCTGACAGAAGCTGAAACCAATGTGTTTCAAACCAGGTGCTGTTAGGATTGTTCCTGTACTTGATAACAGGCCTGTGACTTCCTATATACGCTAAACATTGTTATTTACGGGATGGTGAGAAGTGCAAAATCCAATTGAGGAAACACTATGCACTGGAATCGTCTGTGGACCTTCCGTTTCAATAGGAAAGCAGCTGCAGATGTCTTTGAGAAAGAAATTTGAAATAAAATTTTAAAAATTGCCTTTATTGATTTATTTTAAAGTTAACTAAAACCAAGGATGGTACAGGAACCATTCGGAAGGTTGGTGAATGTGGACAAGGTGGTCTTCGTATTTTAGCCGTGGTTTGTGCTAATCTCAATATCTTCCTGAAAAACAAGCAGTTCAGAAGGAACAGCAATTGTTCTCGGTACAAGTGATCTACGGTCAAGAAGCTCTATCTCTTTCTCAATTTGGATATTTACTCCTCACTTGAATGTTTGCGTAAGCGCTATTTATGCTTACCATTACTTCTCTGAGGACAGGAAGATTAAACTCATTTATCACTTTGTGATCCGATCTCTTCGAGAACCATAGAGTCACTTTGTAGCCTTTGCTCTGTCATTGACGATATACCACCGAAAGCCTCCGAATGGTTTGTTTGGGTGTGTTTGTTTGTAACTGATCGCCCTAACCCTGTATCTCACGAAATGCTCCGTAGGACCAAGGGTCCAAAACAGTCTCCGCCATCCTGTGGCGGAGATATTATGTCATTCAAGTAAGAAGACGAAAAGCCAAATTCCGGGGCCATACTCGGATCGATGAATCATTGGTAGTTCACCTACAAGATTTGGCTAATAAGCCACATTCCAGACCAACCAAGAAGAGGCTTGCGTATCGCACACACAAACCTTGCTGGTTGTGGAAATAATCACCGACTAGATTGGGTATCGAGTTGTTTTGTGCCCCCTTAGATCTTTTCCCGCTGTCCGAAGGGCGTATGATCTGATGATGTGGCCACCGCCCCTTCCCCTGTCCCTCCTCCCTCAAGGAGTGCGGTTTTCACACACCGTCCCGCTGCCTTGCGGGTCAGAATTGGATTGGCCGAATGTTCCGGTAGCGAATTCTTCGAGAAAATCCCATAGTATTGGCCGGAACAACCTGACAACAATCATGTAAATTTCTCTTGTTTTAATAAAAATCATTGTACTGTGATTTGTTAGGCACACAGTCTGAACTGTATGTGAAAGAATATACATCTGACCATAACTAAACTGTGAGGCTCTGGTTGTTCTCCATGCAAATTGCTGCTAGAATCAGTGTTTAAATGAGTTCGTCATATTTGGAGGCAATTTTTTTCATTACTAGGTTCCAATATAGACTTTTGGGTAGAAAACCCACTGCAGTTCAACCATACAATACCTATTGTGTCATTTTACTCGAACCACAGTTTAACACATTCGAACGAGGTGTGTAGTGCAACTCTTATTCATGTGCTAGCTCCACATCTTTCTACTTTTTACATTTACTTTTCACGATTGAAGTTGCTATCCCAAATTAGTGAGTTCAATTGATGTATAGCTTTTGGTAACTTGCAATAATAGCCCAGAATTGGAAACTGGTAAACATGAAACTGAATTAAACCTTGCATGCCTATTGTTAAAGCGAATTCGATTACCAAACTTCAAGAATCCTCTAAAGCATAGCTGTGTCAATATATCTGCGAAAGATACTGTCCAACCACCCAAACTGACTAGTTCTTACGGTAGGTCTGAAACCAAAGACGTACAAACTAGTGGCATTTAAACTTTGAGAATGATTAATAATAATAATAATAATAGTAGTAGTAGCAGAAGCAGTAGTAGTAATATTAGTAGTAGTAGTAGTAGTGGTAGTGGTATTAGGACTAATAAAATAAGTGAGAGTAATATATATTACCATTGTTGCTGAGCACTAGGGCAAAGTTATTGCTTTTGACGTGAAACGCGAATACCAATCTCGGGGCGCTGCAATGAACTGAAACAGTCTGTTTCTTTAATTAGGAAAATTAAAGTATTTGCAAAATACCCTCTCACAGTGCTTTTGTGAATGGTGTAAACCACCTTGGTTTCATAGTCTATTAGCACGAGGATAAGTTTCGTAAAATATAGAGAAAGAATTTTCGTGTTTGTGACGATCTGATTAAGGTTGCAGTCGTTGAAGATCTTCTACTACAGCTCTCGATCAATTGGATGTTTAGACGTGACGAGAAAAGAAAAGTGAACGAGAAATTGTTTGACAGGGTTGAGTGGAATGCGATAAACCGTGAAAAAAATAAGTAAATGATAAGCAAACTTTTCATATCTTAGGCGACGGACTGAGTGTATTGTGATTTTGAAAACGTATGGTGAAAACTGGATGGAATAAGATGTTCCCGGAACTATCTGTGCGTAGTGCTTTGTGGTCGCACATGAACTCTCCTTTCGAAAGGGCAGGAAATTGATCTTGGATTAGCCCATTCGATTGTTCAGACGAACTAGACAATCTTGATGGCCGTGCTTCTTGGTTTCACTCCTTCGGAGATCGTTAGTTCCTCCATCGCATTAAGCTCCAACTAAAGTTGTGAAACACTGGAGCAAACCGTTGGGCAGTTAGATCATCCATGCGGCGTCGCTCATGAAGAACTATTGTTTTACCTTAAATTACGTATTTCGTTCGATGTTGCCCGATTCATCATCTACCAATTCCATTTTGAGTAGGTCATCGAATTTTGACCGGCAAGTCCCGGGTTTGAACCGTTCCATTATTGCGTATTTTCCCCATTTCTGCATTTTCCCCAAACAGCCTTTGTACGGCCGCTGCCTCCTTCCTTAAAGTTGACTGTACATTTGTATATTCAAAAAATAGGAAAAGAAATATAAAGGACATTTCAGACTTTTTTCACTGATTTAACAGTGCTTCAAGGCGGAATTTCTCTTTTGCGAGGTGGTCAGAGCTGTTATTATCATCATATAGATTTACTTTGCTTTTGGCGACTCCAATCAGATCAGTGAAAAAAGTTCCTGATTAACAAAAACAAATATCATGTATAAAGTTTAAACAAATTATCTTCGATTCCGGACACAAGGGAATAAGATTGTGATTAATATGAACTCATTCTGCCATCTGATTGGATGCTCTTCCATGATAACCCTAGTATAATTCCACGCGCTGGGCTGTAAAAGCAGTTGATCCAAATGTCAAATCAACATTGATATATGGGATAAATATTGTTTATTAAATGCATCATCAGGTCATTCATATCTGTGCTTTGTGTTCTTCTCAGCAATTCGCCACTTTTGTACAAGTTTCGGTTAGGCCAATTTTGAAGGGACGGTGAAATGTGAGATAGATAATGACTAATGGATATCTGGATCAGGGGAATATCCTTTAGTCTCACCATACGATATAATAAAGGTAGTGTTTGTGTACTAATATGTGGTTACCAGTGATATTCGCACGCTGAGAAATAAGATATGTAACGGAACCAGTGGGGTGCAGCTTTGGTCCGATAGATTTTTAACGCTCTGCTAGGTAATTAATGTTCGTGCATGAAAAAAGGCCGCGCATCTCATGTAACAAGTGTGAAAAGCAGCACTGTGGAAACTTTCGGGATAGATGTCTTTGATAGTGGACAGTGAATGGTGACTGTCGTGGTCGAAACAGCTTGAACGCACTCAACCGAATGTGCTGCACACAGCATCGTAAAGACCCGCATTAGGTCGGTTTAATGACAGTCACCACATAAAGTTAAAGTGAATATACCAAATGCATCAATGAATCATTAGTGGGATGAACGTTACTCTCCCATGCATGACCTTCAAATATCACCCCTCTCCCACCTCCCACCCCAAAATGATTGATGTTGAGGTGAAAGAATCTAAGGAATCCAAGATATTCGGTGTAAAGAAATGCACATTTTTTATCCGTTCTTTTCATTTCACAAAAAACGATAGTGTGCAGTCCATTGTGTGAAGAATAACAGAAGGAGTAAACCACATAGCTACGAGTGCCGAGTTTTCTCTCACTTGAGGTGACGGACCATGTAGGGTCCATGTGAATGAACGCTATACTGAACCGGAAAACAGCAAAGCTGCTTAAAATCAAATTTGTGAGAAGATGGAAGATTGTGAATCTGTGATCTCAAAGTCCGAAGCAGGTGACCACCATCACCACCAGCATCATTGTCATCTCCACCACTGTCACAGGAACCATCACCAACCTAGTCTGCTAGATATGGCCCAAAACCTTAAAATCTCGTATCTACTTTTAAGTACCATTTTTCGTGTAAACTGCAACTGTATCGAGAGTGGAATGTGCTCGATGCCAACTGATTCTCAGGGTGACTGAAACAAAAGCATAATAAATTAACAATATTAAATTTTATTACCGCGTACTGGATAGTATTTTACTTAGACATAATCTCGTAGGCTTAGACGTACCCGTGTACTTCCGGATCGTTTTGTACTGGAACCCAAACTGGTTGAATCAGTCACGCTGGTATGGACCACATTACGACGCGTTCGGAATAGGCGTCTTAGGATCGTTCGCTTGGGTGGCCCAAACACTGTATCCATTTCATCCGCCTTGCACATTGCCTCTTCCAGTCTTTGTAATTCGAGAAAATTTGTCCGATCCGTCACTTTGACGCACTCGGACTTGGAACGTTCCGCATGTGGTGCGGACAGTTTTAGTCGCTGATCGGTGTTCAACTCGCCGACCTCGCAACATGTGGTTGGGAGAGAATCACGCTTCCGGTTCTCCGTCGGGGCGAATTTAGGCGGATTTGAAGCACTCTGATCGAGGTCCCCAGAAACAAGGTTGCATTCATTCAACTTATTCGGAACATCCGAACCGGGAATGGTGTTGTTTATCTCGCCCGTGTTCTGTTCCTCACCCCCATCGCGCTCAGTCATTGATCCTGTACGTTGACGAACCATGGAGAATACGAGGCGAGCAAACCGACCCCAGCCTGAAATGTGGAATCCGGTAGAGGGATGCAGGACCTTGATAAAGAGCATGACATCGGAACGCGTACGTCCTTGTGCGCAATCGTGCCAACACACATTCAGAAATCGAACAGTTAAAAATTGATGGTGTGAGATTTGTGTTTGCTTTGCGATTATTCTTTCGGGAGTGAATGAGTTTTAGGACAATCGTAAATAAGTTGAAATGGAACACATACACACGTGTTACTAGTTTCCTGATCAACCTGATTCACTGGTTCAAAAAGTTCAAGTATTGCTTCATGTCTGTTCATAGTTTATTATTTGCTCTCCACTCTACTCAACAAAGCATTTATGTAAGTTTGCCTTCGTTCTTCTACCGCGGCGGGAGAAATAGTACCATAGAAGTTGATCCCAAACACTTTCATTTAAAAATTTGAATGAGATGAATACCCTTATCGGTTCTCCATATTTTGTCCATTCATTTCGACTGGGAACAGAATCGGAGCGCTTGCCGAAGTTCGACTGTTCTCATGAAAGCCACTCGTGCTTTTCTCCAATAGGCACTCACTCACCTATGTGGCTGTGCATCAGTGAGGAGCCTAAACGTTACACATAGAAAACAGTTGTACCGAGGCAGCAGTAAGTATCGGTGGGACTGGAAACCAAGTGATTTGGAGAAGATCGGAATGGCCAGATAGGGCGGGGTGGAATAAGGAACAGCGCCCCTAGGAGAGACCCCCAACAATCTAAGGCTTAATGAGCAGTATTTTAATTTATATCAGTCGTTCAAAAAGATTCAATCAATGACTCAATTGAATCAATGAATCCTAATGTCACAAAAGATACAAGTACAGGATATTGGTGTCAGCAGTTTGTCCTAACTGCTTCACATTTAATCAAATTGTCACTTGTCTGCAGATTGGGATACTTTGGTTAGCTGAATTCTGTTTAATGTGATTGATTCAGACGGAGTACTTGTTTTCATCCATCTTAGTTCAGTTCTTTTCCAGTACACTTTCAGGTTTTGACATACTGAGCAACTAGGTGTGCTGAGTGGGTCAAACACACTGGATTGAACTTGCCTGACATGTGTGTGTATAGTCATTCGAAACGATTATTGTCTAGGAAAGAGGTGGGTCGCACGTCAGACGCGAAAACACACAGAAATTGGTGATCAGTCTTATGATTGGGTTTTCACCAAANAAACACTGACTAACCCCTTGCTTTGCTGTTCCACGATGGCAGGTCACGTTTTTTCACTGAACAATTTAATTTCAATTCCTTCATCGAAATTCGGAAATTTATCCCTATTGTCAATTGAAACCTTGCAGTGTAGGTGAAAAGATCCATTGAACCCATTTTCATATAGATAACAGATGAGAATTTGCAGTGTGAACACGTTCCATAATGTCGCATAAATGCCGTACAATGAACTGGTGTGAATGAACCCATCGTATGTCGGCGTAAAGTGTTTTTTTGCAGAGGTTGAGGGAGTAAGGTGAGGTGCCTNGTAACAAGCAAAGGTGGAATGAATGCTATTCTATCGCAAACAGTTGCGTGACACCAAGCGGCACGAAAACCAAGTTTGTTGCTGACGCTCACAGTCCGTGTGGCGTGTGATCAGCACATTATTTTTCAATGATGCACTCAAAATCGTCTATCAGATTCTCCAGCAAAGCGACTGACTGACTGATAAGTTTACGTCAAACAAACACGGTCGACACCAATCAAATCCCGATACAGATATGGGTGCAAGAAGGAGGCGTTTCTACACTCATTCTCTTTTTTCTTTTTTTATTACACACCTAAGTGTGATGAACAGCAGACGGAGTGAACTCCGTAGTCACGAGGAACCCTTGTTCACTGATTGAAATCGGCAACCTAAGTCCCCGGAACTTGGAGTGGCGAACCACACAAGGTCCCGATAGGATAGGCGTGGTATTGAACCGGACGACAGCAGAGCTGCCTACCACCCAAGTCGGGTGGCGGTGGCGGAGCTCGAACCTCAGACCACTGGGTCCAAAGCGACTAAACCACTGCGCCATCACCACCATAGAAGGTACAATAAAAAAGCTACTCCATATATTGACGGGCCAACATGATGGAATTTTTCGGATAGTTGGAGTTTTTTTCCTAAAGGGAGCATCTACCCGCCGTTGAACGAATCTCCAAGGTAGCTAAGTAGCTGTTCAAAGGCGTAACGCGTCAAATGAATCGCCCAAAGTAAGGAAAATGAAGCACAGGCGGTAGCACGTATGACATTGATGAGTTCAGTGGGGATATATCCCGCATTTCAGGATTCCAGCGCTGTTTATATCCGCACGCTCCTGGAAATTTGGTTGTTGTCGGCAACAGCCAAACAGGCATTGCCGTAGCATTTAGGTCAAACAGCTGAGGTTAGTATTTCGCGTTAGGTTTCCGAGTACAACCATCTCCGACTTGTTGTCCTCAACTGCTTGAGTCATTTTCAGAACAGAATCACCAAACAGCTGGAGACTGAACCCTCAAAAATCGTTGAACAACAGTTGAATCATATCAGGGATATCAAGGATTACCAACTGTGAACTAACCTCGAGGTCTATCCCCGGCTGGTTTTTCATGACATATCTCCGTTTGTTACACCGTCGATAGTGAATTCCATAGGGTTATGGGCAGCGTCTTCATAAAGCGGAGGTTGACTGCAAACCTAATACAAAACGGTTATTGAAACCTGATGATCTAAAAAGGCTGCGGATGAGTAATCGCCTCCGGTGATTTTCGGGAACTGTTCCACGTATCGGTGTCGGAAAGGTAGATGAAATAACAGTACACATATTTTATACCCTGGTTCATTAGATTGATTAGTTCTGAATCCATTTCGATTGATCAATCGTGCTTACCATCCTAACAACCAAATGAACTAGAGTTTACGGAAACCCAATCAATCAATTCTCCAATGCCGAAACGTCCCTACCCAAGAAAATATACCATCATCATGACAGAAGGATCAAGTCGGGTTTCACCCTGGTTACGTTTGATAGGATAAGGTTGCATTCATGGTGAAACGTCTATCCCAGTGTTTCTCAACATCAGAACAGTTTTCTACTACACATTTGGATTATTACTGCAAAATGGTGTACAAGGGAAACTTATCTTAAAAGCGCTTTTTCATACACACTTTGGGGTTGCGGGGTGGGGCGTGCTTGCGTGCACAGGGCAAATGCTCACCACCCATCACGTTTTGCTGCTCTGTGCGTTTGTTGTGCCATAGCCATTCAGCTATTGAGGTAGATGATGTCAGCACCAAAGCACCTAGATGTGGAAATATTCTCAGACAGCAGTCTGAGCATGCAGGTGCTGTATTTGATTGAATCGAGTGTGCAGCTACTTCAACATATAGCGGATCGTTTGGCGGTCAAGGTTTTTCAAGGACGGCATTTGTTTTTTGCTCTAAAGATGTAAAGCATGGATAAAAGATTGTGCAAAGCACAATGGACCACACTGACACTCGGATGTAAAAGCCTGGAAGTCGTTCAGTATAGCATATAATCTATAAAGAGCTTTACAATGGGTGGTGAGTTGATCAAAATGCGGATTGCGGAGGAGTTCATATTCCAAACAGCTGTGCTATTGAGACGGTCAATATATCTCTCTGAAGGACGGGATGTACCATTCGACTGAACGTGCGTTCCTACAATGCGTGTATAAACCCTGATCTGTTCTTGCGATCGACGGTAACTCACTATCCCAATTCAAATTTCGCTCCCTTAAAAACACATTATCCGCGTTTGGTGGGAACAATATGTCTGTAATGAAGCGGGTACTTGGTGCAGACGGGGCCACGTTGACGAACAGCATTTAGCTTCCCATCTAACATGGCTCGGGCACGCAGTTGAAATGATGGAACTAAGTCTATCTCTGGTGTTTGATTGCGAACGACGGTTAAAGACAAAAAATATAAGAGCGCAGTGCACAAACAATATCCTTACCGAAGAAATGAACAAGCCCATCTATGGGTGGGGTGTTTGCGATTTTGATACCGCAAAATGCAATACATAAACACACGACAAGAAAACAAATTACCAAACGCGAATGTCAGAAGAGCAAACTACTTTACACGTATGATTAACACCACTTAACGTTTTCTCTACATTTACACCTGTCTATCTTACCTCACTCGCCCCCTGGACTCCGATGAATGTACCGTGCTTTGGGTTGGCACACAGCGCGAATCCAGGTCATGGTGTAAATATATCCAAGATAAAGTGATTATCATATCGAGTTTCACCACAGGTATTTTGAATCACAAGGATACGTTCAGGGTTGCCAAACAGGTTCCCTCAAAAAGCCTAAAGTTTAGCCACACATAATAAGGATGATACCATAACCCAATTATTATTATTATTATTATTATTATTATTAATTATTATTATTATTATTGAATCTCGATCGTTATTCACAGGAGGGTTTGATTGAGGTTCAATCAATCAAGGTCGGTTATGTGATCAGTTCGGACAACTGCTTTATATTTGGCCACGCGCATGTACGGTGGTTTATAGGACTAAGTAAATTTCCAACCCCTATTGGTGGTCAGCGCAGTTAGTTTATAATAAAGATGACCCGAATGTTATACGTTTGAAGTTGTCCACCACCACCACCACCACCACCACCACTACCACCACCACGACAACCACCGTAGACACCAACTCCTATTGATTTACTTAACTAGTTATCTATGAATAGCCTCAACCGCCTTCCTGAAAATCGATTAAGCATTTTATAACTTCCTGAACGCGCTGTAGAAAGACTTGAGAGAAAGGGCTCATGCGTAACTGAGAATATTTCTCCTGTGCTTTCAACGTCTCTCCGAGCATATTTTGATGGAAATTAACTCACATAGTTCATTCAATTTACTAAGCATTTTTTATTGATGGTATTTACCTTTCAGGATAGGTAGAGTACTTTCTGAAATCACTGAATTTAAGGCAACTTGAAATGACACTTCAGATACTCGAATAGCGTTAATCGTGATAAGTTAAAACAA